ACGTCCAAAAAGGAGTTCCTTTGTGAATATCAGATTAAAGATGCCTATTATGCTTCATTGAACAGTTTACTAAGGCTTAAAGGATATACAAGCCATATTAATTACATTATTTGGACAAAATCATGCCTGAGGTCATGTCTATTTTGGGTTTTTTTAGGGCTTCTTGTCACTTTAAATCCAAATAAGATGCTGCTGGCCACGCCCCCAACTCAATCTTTAAACTCAACCGTGAAAATGGCTGCAAACAGATGCGCAATTATACAACTGTTCATCTTTGAAAAGCAGAAGTAGAGCCTCCTGAACAACCAACAAGAACGCAGCTAGTAGTTTGTGGATGGGAAGTCGACAAAACAACACTTGTCTTTTCCAGCAGCCATTGTACACCAAGTTGAGCAAATGTGATAGAGCTTAGCTTGGGCTGTTAGGTGACGGGCAGAGCTCTGTTGAAGTTGCTAGGTAAGGGGCAATGTTTGCTGATTTGAGACAGTTCATTTTCCAGACACCAAGAAACATTAAGTTACTGTCAAAAAACCGACAGGGTTTTCTTTTTTAGCACTTGGGGTGTTTTTAGAAGCAGTAAAGACCCAATTGAATGTACAAAGATGTACAAAATGTGAATTTTGCATAAAAGGTCCCCTTTAAAAGTCTACAAATTATTTGTTAATCTTTCTGGAGCTTAAAAAAAAGAGGTTTTACTGTGGAATTCCAAATTTTATTGTCTGTCATTAATCTGAGAGGGGAAAGCTAAATCTATGGAGCAAAGTTTGATTACCCTTCAGTTGCCCCAGTTGGACTAAAAAGAGTGCTTTGCTTTGGTCAGACATTTACTGTTCAGTTTTCATGAAACCAGCATGTTTTCTGCTAAGCGGCGGCTCACGTCCATCTTTATCAACTGGACGGTTTGTCAGCATCTTTTTGAAATGGTGCTTCTGTCTGGCTAAGGTCACTCTCAGCCTGGCAGGCTACCTGTTCTCAATCGTCGTATATCTGAAGGTTTACTTCTTCAGATCATGGAGAGCTGGGCTGATAAGAGGAAAGCTTTTAAGAAAGTCACCGACGCTGAGCACGCGTCCATTGCATGAAAAAAAAAAACAATTTAGCAGGAAAGTAGATAAAGAAAAACAATTAAAACCACTCTCCACCATTTCATGTTGTGAACCAAATCTCATAAATTAATACAAATATTTGATTAAAATAGATCTTCTTTGGATCTCCTAATTTGGACTCTAATTAAAAAACATATTTTGGAGAATTGTTGTTTCTCTTATGCTATTGTGCGGGATGGAAAATCAAAATGTTCATGGCGAGCTCTGTTTTGACATCCACACTGAGCCTCCACATTTCTACTGGCAATTATTTTCCTCCAGACGGACAATAGTCTCCAGCAAACATATTGTTTTGTCACGTCCCAGCTTTCAACTCTTGTGTGCTCTCTTCTCATGGGAATCTCTTAGCTCCCTTGTTTATTTTTGTGAATTATGTGGGAGCCACAGCGGAGGGCTCATTTGAATCTGCTAGTCAGAGGGAGATTAAACTTAGGCTGTGTTTATTGTTTCCTATCAGGAGCCAATATGCTAACAGCAGATGCCAGTGGTCTTGCTGTGCCTTAGTTTGACGGATCCACAACATGACTCTCACCACAAACCACCGCAGTTGCGCCCAACTGGCACAGGCAGCAGAAGAAGAAAAAAGAAATCCTGTAATGTTGGGGCTTTAGCAGAGTGCTTCATTACACAGTTAGATCAGATAAAATCCCCCGAGATTAATTTTTCTCTGTTATCTTGAATAGGCGAGGAGGAGTGAACTGGTCATATTAGGGGTAATATGTATTAATAACACATAATAGGATGTCAGTAGCTTTGGCTGATTTTATTTCCTGTAAAGTAGGGAATTATTTTCTACTTCAGCTGCTTCATATTGCTTTTAAGGCAAAAAAAACCCTCTCATATGCATGCATGTAGGCTCACACACACAGAGGCACACACTGCCCTTTGAGCTTAATGACTATGCTAATAATATAAGCTGTTTCAAGCCACGCATGACATTATTTTGGTCAAGTTTTGCTTGCATTTCAGACTACTTACGAAATTTTAAAAAGCCTATTAAGGAACGGGTTATTAAGGACAAGCCATGCATTAAAACACATTGGAATAACGTGAAGGCGGCTGTTTCTCTACTCTGGATCCGACACCTCTGTGTTACACTACCAGCACTTTACCAGTGATGTCGGCTTGTTTCATGGAGATTCAGTTTACTTAGCACTAATTCACAACATGACATCTCAACATTTTACAAAAAAATTGTCAATTTTCTGACAAACACATCTGACTGCCTTTCCTTAGGCAGTTAGATGTGTTTCATCTTTCATGGCTTGACAAACATTTGAATGTGAAAAATATTCAAGAAGTTTTTTTCAGGGTGTTGTCTTTAAATAACCTGTAAATTGACAAGCTAAGAATAACCTAATTTGAGTAATTCTGGTTCAAATACATGCCGATTGTCCCTGTGTGGTTTTAAGACAGCAAGGCTGTAGGGATACATGGGTTGTGTACCAAAAAAAATTAAGAAAGTGGCTGATGGTTACCAAAGAATTGGTTGAAACGAATAACTATTGATATAAATGAGTTAACAAATAACATGTTTAAATTAATGATTTTTTTTTTACCCATTATTCCTACATTTTTACCCTATTTGTCCTTTTAAGGTCATGAAGAAACTGTTTTCAAGAGACAGGTTGCATGTAGGACAGAAAAATCATTGACATTCTCACAACTGAATTCAACAGAACCAAATTAAAGATCCACAGACTATAGCAACTTAATTGCTACCTACTTTCTCACTTCAAATAATAAGTCTGAAACATATATTCATATTTAATTAAAACTGGTGGCCACGAAGATCTCTAACCCAACAAACTAAATCATAATATTTTACCCAACGATTGGCTAAAACTACAAAACATCTGTCCTGCAACATTATCTCAGGTTTTTGTGGATATATTTTATAAATACAGTATAACTTCTAAGTTAGATTTAATTTTTTTCAAACAACAACATTGAACTGCAGTTTCTTTCTGTACGAAGTTATATTTATATTATGTATCAAACGCTTAACAAAGTAAAGTTGATTTCAGACATGAAATGGTTGATGTTATTCACACAGCGCAGGTGAAAGCCAAGGTATTTTAGAATTTACGTGAATAGCAGCATTTTTATCTACTTCTATCCAGTTTTTACTCATTATTTCACTCTTTTTCATACTGAACAAAAAATGTGATTTTAAACAACTCGGGTGAAAGAGAAAGCCTGCTGGGAGTCTAAAAAGACAATTTCCCCCCCTAATTTTACTTCCATCAGACGTAAGACTGTTTTTAACATCTAACAAGCTCCAACCCACAGCCAGCTACAACCCACCCTAATATTTCTCCACATTAATGTTTTCTCTTTACATTTTAAGAGCGTACATTTCCCAGATATGTGTGTGACATCTTCAAAAACATCTTCAACCAGGCAGGCACAAGAAAAATACTGATTGAGAGTTAAGTTTCCCTTTGGGTTTGCATGAAAAAAGCAAGCTTATACTTGCATTCTCATAATGAGTAAGCTCTCTTTACTAGATGATGAAATATATAATAATAAAGCTGTTTCATCTGCTGACTTGTGTCTCCTGGGAGCAAAATGCAATTATTTATCCAGAAGAAATTCATAAAGCAGTTCACTGCAAGAAACATAAGCATGCCTTGCTCAACATATTTTTGACTGAAACTAGATTAAGTTATCACACAGAGACTGATGACTCTGTACACTGACTTAAGACTTTTTGAGACAGAAATATTGATAACTACATGATCATATGGCAATTTTCACTAAACAGTGTCAACCACTGGTGCTTCTGATGCACTAAATAGAATCTGTGTATTGCACTTTAGTTTTTTACAAGCTCCTCACTTTTCATTACCATTTTATCACATTATGCATTCACTTCACTAGACTTTGCCACAATGGTGGCTCTGTGAATATGTGCATGAAAGAGAGTTAAATGCTAACATTTGTATGCAATTAGACAATGTTATCTTGCTATTAGACAGCCATATTGAGAGAGATGCATGTAGTCATGCAACAGTTTTATGCCCTTTAAGCATTTTCACCTTTTGTCACTCTACAAACTCCAATGTGTTTTAATAGGTTTTATTGACAGAGCCACACATATTTTAGTGCATGAGTGTGACGTAAATATGAAAAGAGTTTTTAAAATATCTCAAAAGTGTAGTGGGAAGATGTCTTCAGACCCCACAACAACTTTGTGCTAATTTCAGTATAAGTCCAGCTGTATTGTAAAAGTTTTTTTTATTTATTTATTGTTTTTTTCAGAGCATATTTGTCCACAAACATCATGAAGACCAAGGAAAGCACCAGAAATTGCAGAATTAAAGTTGGGGGAAAGCTCAAAGAAGGATTAGATTATTAGCAATGTCCCAAACTTTGAAAATCTCAAATTCACTGTTCAAACCGTCATCAAAAAATAGAGAGGAAACCAAGACATGGCTGTTCAGTGAAACTAAGAGGCCAGGTAAAAATATTAACCTACCAGCTGGGAAATCACCCAAACCCTGCAAATAAATCTACAAAGTAATGCTTTATATCTAAGCATACACATAAGACATTTAAATCTAATTGCAAATCTGAAAGTGGATATTGAGAGTTAAAACAGTTTTGCATAGGAGAACTGACAACAGGAGTTTGTCTGCCACCTACAACCACATGACTTTGACAGACTTATTTGAACATAAACTAATTTTTAGTCTTGTTTTGAAAAAAATTCCAGGTTGGACAAAATGTTTGAAAGATAGAGAATGGATTGTGCAAATTAAAAGAAATGAATAAAACAAAATATGATCTCTCTCACATCTATTCTACAGGAAAAGAAAAGGAACATCTGATCTTATTATTTAACAAAACTTTCATAGCTGCTGTCTACCTACTGTTTCTAAAATACTAAGGATGACAGTGAAATGCAAAAGAGTTCAAGGTGAGCTGTACTGACATTAATTTTAATTTACTTCAAGCCACTTTCAAAGTAATCCCTTTATTGTTGATAAGAATAAACCGCATTGCAGGCTGCAGACGTACCTTACGGATATTAATACTATTTCATTGGTGTCTCTTACTAACTCTGATCTTTGCATGTTTTCTCCATCTATCGTTACATTGATGGAGCCGACAGAGAAATGCCAAAAAATAACGTTTTCTTCTGAATTTGTGTTTTCAGTTTTTATTGGATGAGGCTGACTTATTAAAGTAGATAGGTGAATTCATTAGACTGTTAAATAAATTCATTTTTGCAGCCAATATTTGCTGCTCCCGCTCACGCTCTGTGTACGCTTTCTACCCAACAGCCCCGACACGCAGCCTTAGAAAGTTTTATCACCAATGTCAATAGAGTCAGCACACAATAAATTATGTCTGCTTGGTGTGTTTACCGAACAGGTCCATCTCTGGTGGGAGCTGTAAAGAAGGACTGGGCTTCTCCAAACAGCATCGCTCTCTCCTGGCAGCAGCCCGAAGAAACAACACTTCCCATCATTGACTATGAAGTCAAATATTATGAAAAGGTAGACGGTCACACTTCTTTTGCATGACTGCTGTCGTGACTTTCTGATACAAGATGTTAAAAAATAGACATTTCTTGTCTTGTCACTTGAATGTGCAGTGAAATTTGACTCGGCACAGTAACGGTCCTTAAGAAACTCACATCTTGCTCTTGCTGACTGTGACGTTTTCATGTAGTTTGCTGAATTGCTAAGCTAAAGGTGGCATGTTTGCATGCTCTTGATACAAGTCTCCGATGACTTACTGTGAACAAATATATACATTTTAATAAAAGATATAGTTGTGAAAGTTATTCTCCTGCTGCGTAAACCTAGTGCTTTGCTCTCGCAGTGTTTCAGCTGCATGCTGAGCAACCTTTCATAACACTGACAGCTCTCTTTTCACATGATGCAACAGCCATTACTATCTTTCACTGTGAATGTCAGCATAAAAGGTGAAAATCACACCAAATGGAAAAAGTAAAATCCAACTTTCTAGGAGAAACACAGTAACGCACACGGCCAATGATTTATTATAGTTTTGAAAGTGCGTATTCACAAATTGGGTGCAATTTTCTTATATTTGTTTGATGCACAAAGAAGTAAAAATCACTGACATTCTCACAATAATATGTATGATAGCTGAGGATCCTGAGTCAGAGATTAGGATCAGATCAGGAAAGTATTATAGTACAATATTTTCTTCTTTTTTTAAATATATAAACATCAGTTGAGCTTAACATTATAACCACTGACTGAAAAAGTGAAAAACACTGAGTACCTCTTCATCATGTCCTTTGTTACCTGCAAGGAACCATTTTTGTTCTCATGTGCTAGAAGAAAGAGAAATGGAAAGCACAATTATCTGAGAAAATTACATTTCCAAACTGAAACGGCTAAGCAATTGGGTCATTGCTTAAAACTGCAGCTCTTCTGGGCTCTTCCCAGTCTGCAGTGGTCAGTATCTATCAAAAGTGGCCCAATGAAAGTGCAGTGGTGAGTAAGTGACAGGGGTCATGGGAGGGCATGGCTCATTGGCACATGTAATCCAGTCCAAAAGACAAGCCACTGCAGCTCAAGCTGCTAAAGAAGATAATGCTGGTGCTGAAAGTTTTTTTTTTTTTTTTTGTGCATAAAAATGTCCTGTTCTGCAGCTGAACAGGGTTGAAAACCTCCAGAGCAGTCGGCCTCTTTAAGCAGGATAGCGCCCCCTGCCAACAAGCAAACATTGAAAAAAGTAGCAGTAGTTTAACTCGAAGTTTTAGGTTTCCAAATTCCTTAGATTTATTTCCAATCCCAAATGTTTGGGGGGATCCACTGAGACTACACCTTGAATGCTGCACTCAATAGAACTTTAATTACACTTTATTGAATAAATAACCAATTTACAGTGGTGTAAACCAATCTTTAAGATGCATTAACATTTAAAAATACAAATTACCAATAATAACTGAGGATAATCATGTAAATGTTCTTAGTATGGAAAATTAAAGGCTTCTTGTGAAACATTGAGGTCCTTACATGATCTAAAGGTCAAATTAAATTTAAAAGTGTGATCCAGACTTTGATTAGTTTTTAATGCCTATTTATGGCTTCACATTTGCTTTGAGATGGTTTAAGGGATGACTTCTTAGACCTTGCTTCAACACTCAGCTGTCACTTTCCCCAAATTGATGCCGAGCTCTCTGAAAATTCAAATGATTAATCACGACTGTGCAGCAAAAGGTTAAAGGACTGCAAAGTACGCTCCGCAATTTTCTTACTTAATAATGTAAGTAATAAATGGCATTCATATAAACAGTGGCGATAGTAGCAGCAGTACCTAAATGAGGACTGAACTGCCAGATTAGTGCTTGAAGGATTATTTGAAATTTAGATCAAAGTTTGACTGCAAAAATGTTTCTGGAGGATCAGGAAGGATGTGAAGTTGTGATGTCCTGCTGCGATTCTGCATCTCCAAAAACGGAAAATGTTTCCTATCAGCTCATCGTAAATCAATTGAAAACATCCACTAATTGACGCATACAAAAACTATTCTGTTAACAATTAGCCAAGTAATTTACAAATCGTCAAGGACTGAGTTGTATGCAAGAGTCTCTTTGAACATTTCAGAAAATCAGCTAATTATCAAAAACAAACATGGCATAATTATGTCATGTTTGTGCATAATTATTATTTAAGTGCATAAAGGTGAAGAAAATGGTTTCTTCTATAACAGATGTACAAGCCGTATTGTACGCATATTTTTAAAAGTTCAAGCTACAGTTTTTGACTTAACTTTCACAATGACTGATGTCGGCATCCTTGGAAAATAATTAATATTCTTCAGTGCATGCAAAACTTATGACTATATAAATCTCCAACTCATATAAACTCATGCTTATAAAAGAGAGTTAGAGTGTTTACACATTTCTGAAGTTATTATTTTTCCTGTCGTTATTTTCAATATGTTAATATGTGTGTAAAATATTGCCTAAAAGTCTAATGAAATGTGTCGTCTTCCATTTCATGTCTCTTGAATGTCTTCTACTTAGCTACTCACAGCAACAGTTATTATGCAGAACATCTGGAAAAGTGTTTGTAATAAAGTTTTGTGATAAAATTATCTCTTCGCTGTCATTTTATGTTCCCAAAAGGGATCAGAAAGCGAGCTTGAACGCAGCCTGGAAGGCACTTCTTGTTGCCGCTCCCTCATTCAACATCTGTCACTGAGCTGCAGTGAATGTGACAGTAATTTGACAAAACTGTTTACCGTGGTTTTGATTAGGGTAAGCGTCGTTCTAAAAGACCAGGGATTTTAAAAAAGGGCCGAATCTAAACGGATGAAATCTCCCTGTATAACTGCGTTCATATCTGGTCAAAACCGGTTCTTAGTTGCTGAAATATGGTTTTTATTATTTTTCCTTCCAGGAACAAGAGCAGTTGAGCTACTCGTCAACACGCACCAGAGCTCCCAGTGTGATCGTCTCGGGTTTGAAGCCGGCAACCTGGTACATCTTCAGCGTTCGCACCCGGACTGCCGGTGGATTCAGCTCCTACTCTCCAAAATATGAATACCAAACTACAGGTGACTGTGAGTACTCACTGTTTGTTGCAAATATTAAAATGTAAACCAGTTCGTGGTGCTGCTTTCTGTTCATTGGTTGTCTGAAACACAAAGCTATTAAAAGGTCAAATTTGGAGAAATGATCATTTAAAACATCCACTGCCCCTTTTACTATCTCTTTCTTTTTGACAAAAAAAAAAAAAAAAACTTGGTCAAAGCTTTGACTGAAATTGCCACTCTCTGACAATGCTCCATTAAAATCTCAGCTTTGCTGTTTTTTGTAATTTCCTCTTTTTCTTCCATAGTCAGGAATGTGAGGTTCTTGGTGTAAACAGCAGCTCAGAGTCAAATAAAGTTCATGTTGCCTGGAGGAGCATCCAGGGCAGCTCACAGCCTGAAGGTCGCAGATACAAATAAACAAATATTTATACAAGTACACTTGTACTGTACAGGTGTGAAGCAAATGTAACTGTTTCAACACAATGTGGGAAAGATGCTGAGCAAAGAAAACAGTTTGGTACCATGACATTTTATCTAAAATTCAACTATGTAATAACCATATCTTTAAATTCAAGAATAAATTGTTACTCTCATTAATTTATAAAAACACATTTAGGTATATAAAGTCAGGAGGAAGGAGTTACTTGGCCAACAGTCTTTAAATTTTACCAAATAATTTTTGTCTACTTTCTAGTGCAAATATCTTTGCACACTTGAAAGAAGACAAACTTACTTAAACGAAACTTTTCAGCAAAATATAGAACATATTAAACAATTCTCTATATCTTGCTAAAAAGTTATTTGTTAGTTTTGTCTTATTTCCAGTGAACTAAAATATTTGACCAAAAAACTGTAAGATTGTGTTTTTGCAGTGTGTTGATGAATATAGCAGCTTCACTCAATAGAAACATTACACAAGCAGTACAAAATAACATTGCATGAAGGAAGAAATGATAACAAAACATAAATAAATTCAATAAAGCACAATCTCTGTTGACCTCTGCTGCACAATCTACAGCAGAGGTCAACACCGCTGGTCCTGGACTGCCACTGTCCTGCAGGAATCGAACTTTTTGTTACATTCCTCCTCTAACCCACTTCAGTCAAAACGCTGACGTTTCTCCTCGCTGTATCATGTCAGGAAGTTCTGCAAAAGGTGTGGTCGTTAACTTTTCATTGAATTCAGATGTGTTGGAGCAAAGATGCATCCACTGGACACTTCCACTGGCACTCCAGGACTGAAGTTTCAGACCTTTGATCTACATTTTTGTTCATTTTCATGTATAAATTAGACCCACTGCAGCTCAGCTGCCTGCTCCAGCAATATTACAATAAAATCCATTTCATATAATCTATCCTCTAAATTAAAAGACAGCCTAGAACCAGTGTAAGCACAAACATGCAGTGATGCAATGGAGTCTATGCTCAGCATTTGTTGTGATGAGCTTTTCTAGAAGTGTGAAGCTGAAGGGAGTAAAAGGAAAAGGGGAAAATGAAACACAGCTGGCCTGCAAACAGCGACGTGTATGATGATTTATCAACTGTAGTGTCATTAACATCCCACCAGACAGTTATGTGTCAAACACTTATATCTCTAGGAATCCATCTAGTTCACTCTTCTGCTAACGTCCCTGAAAGTCTCCTTTAGTTTACAGTAAGGGTGTCAGTCAGCGTCCTGCAGGTTTTGGATGTGCTCCCACTCCAACCCGTCTGCATCGAAACATTTACCTTCTGATGCACTTAAGGCCCACAGAGTCCTGCTAATTACCCAATTATGTAAATCAGGTGTTTTGACACAGTTGAGCCTCGAGGACTGGAGTCTGACACCTGTGGTTGAGGGAAAGTAAGACTTTTTTTTAACTCTCAGAAACATGAGAGAATACAAACAGAATGCAAACTTTGAAGGAGAAATAATTTAATTGTTTTTGGATGAATATAGTTTGTTGTAAGAGCTTCACCTGCTTCTGATGCAAACTTGGCACCAGTTGGTTTCCAGTATCAAAATGTAGCAAAGTATTTTTTTAACATTAAGGTTTCAAAACCACATCTTCATTTGTTTGTCATTTTGATGAGAAGTTACTGCCCCTCCCTCACCTGTTGCTGCCAGTTAGCTAGCTAAAAGAACGCTACTACTTTTTTCCTTCACCTAAAATATAGATGAGTTAAAATATTTTCTTTAGCAAACAGCAAAGACCAAAAATGAATGTTATTGGTAATTTTATAACTATAACAAATAATGTAGCGTACTATTTTATCTCCAAACAATGTATTTTTACTCAAGCTAATCATATTATAACTAAGTGGCTCATGTTTAATACTAAGACATAATCATTTTCAACCCATTTGCTATTTATTTTTAGCAAACAGAGTGGAAAAAAAATGTAAAAACTAAAAACACCAATGTTTTTGGGGGGTATCTTTTAAAAAGAAAGCCAGCGAGTAGAAAAATCAGGTACAAAAATTGAAGTAAAAGATGCAGAAGGTGATTTCTTTAAACAAATCTGTGCATGCGGTTTACTGAAATACAAAAACTTCCTGCACAGAAAATGGTTTGAAAAACTGCAGATTTCTACACTCACTTTTAAAACTCATTTTTTTATATATTTGCGTACTTTCACCTGGTGCAGCTCAAAGCAAATATTCGATTTCTTGTTCATAAAGTAAAGCTCAGTTTTAAAGGCAAATGGATATTAAGAATTGTTCTGCTTCTCACTGAGGAGTTTTTCTTTACACAGCTAAAACCCCGGATGTTCTGGAGAGTGAATTTAATTTAGCGTAATTCTTCAACCCACAGAAACTAATAACTGAAATAGAGTCATCAAGGGAAACTGACGCTGCTCCTTTTCTGTTCGGCGTGTTTTGAATCACAGCGTTCCTTGTATGTTTTTGTCAGTCGTAGCTTTATTGCGTGCTCATAAAATACAAAGGTCCAGCTGCCCTTTTATGTTGGGTCAGGTTTTATTGAGAAAGAGGTGATTTGGCTTCACAGTGGCCCTCTGCTTCCAAAGCTGCAGAGTTTGGCTTTATCTGCAGATCAGAGGCTGCACGGCCAAGCCTTTGTACTGCCTGGCCTTTTATCTAAAAGAGGAGGCAGGTTTGGCCCCTGCCGCTCTCTCCCTCTCTGTCTGTCTGTCTGTCCTCCTGCCAGTCAGTGTCGCTGCACTTGGTTTTTTTTTTCCAGCTGCATGTGTTTCTGTCACTATCTCCTTTGTCTTTCGCCTGTCATCTGTTTTTGCTGCGTCGCCTGGACCTCATTCCAGCCCTGTCAGTCTAATGCATCTGTTTAGATGTGAAGAGTGCGTTGAGCTGAGATCCGTCATATGTGGTCATCGCTTTCACTCGCCCTCTCCCAGGGTGCTGTGTAATTATTTTTATTAAGTGAAAGGGACACATTTCATACACATGCTTTCCATGCTCTTGGCATTACACCTACATACACCCACACAAGCCTTAATCACCATGCTCCACCATCTCTAATTCATATTCATTAAGCGTGAAATATTATAGAAATAAGTTTGGTAATAGCAATCATCTTTCAATTATCTGGGATTCGTTAGCCTCCTGACAAGACACAGAAAAAGGAAAATCATGAATATCAAATGGGCCCAATTTTAACAAATCATCATGGACTAAATCACAATTTCATGAATGAATAAAATTAATTAACCAGCAGCAGGCAAATGAATCATTCCAGTAAGAAAAGCTGACAGTTTTTTTTAGGACTCCACAAAGAGCTGATCAAACATCTCTCAATAATATCTGCCCATCAAACGAATGTGAACAGTGTACGCCTGCTGCGTTGAATTAAAATCTTATTTCTTCACTTTTTTCTGTTGTTTGATACTTAATGTATTTACTTCTTGGGCTGCACAGTGGCGCAGTTGGTAGAGCGGTTGCCTTACAGCAAGAAGGTTCTGGGTTCAATTCCCAGCCCCGGTCTTTCTGCATGTAGTTTGCATGTTCTCCCTGTGCAGGTGTGGGTTTTCTCCAGGTACTCCAGTTTCCTCCCACATTCCATGAACAACATGACTGTCGGGTTAATTGGCCTCTCCAATTTGCCCCTAGGTGTGTGTGTGCATGGTTGTGTGTCTCTGTGTTGCCCTGTGACAGACTGGCGACCTGTCCAGGATGTACCACGCCTCTCGACCGGAACGTTAGCTGGAGATAGGCACCAGCACCCCTCCTGACCCCACTGAGGGACAAGGGTGTTCAGAAAATGGATGGATTTACTTGTTCTTTCCTTTTTTTCTGCTTTTCTCAAACCTTCAGCTTCAGACATCGCTTCTGATCAGGGCCAGGTGTTGGTCATTGTAACAGCAGCAGTCGGCGGTTTCACCCTTCTCATCATCCTCACGCTCTTCCTCCTCATCACTGGAAGGTAAGATCAATTACAAACCTTAATTTATGCTGAAGAAACTGTGTGAGTTTCAAACAATGTGTTTCTGGTGTAAAAGCTTGGAAACTGTTTTTATTCTTTTACAAACTTGTATGGAGAAATGATTCACTTTTGGTTCAGTTTGGCTTTTATGTTGAGGGTTTGTTTGGTTTTGCATACAGACTCATAGTCCTTGAACTTTTTATTCAAGAAAAACAAGCATGCATTTAATTGAAATTGTACATGATAAATTAGTTCTGCACCCTTCATGAAATAATGGGAGAAAAAAGGTCAATCAATCAGTTTTATTTGTACCATTGGGTAGATCTGCTTACAGTGAGGTGAGTTAGCCTTGTTGTCGGACAAGAAACAGATACACAATAAATATAAATGATTCAAAATGGCCTGGTGCTCAGTATTATAAAATATCAACTACAGTAAAAAATAAAAATAAATAAAATATTAAATTAACTAAAATAAATAAAATAAAATGTAGCAGGAAACAGTGGATCTCTGCAGTAACACAGTAAAACACGGTGATGGCAGCATTATGATGCTTTATTTTTTTAGCTTGAACATGGAAGCTGCTAAATACAGAAAAACTGGCAAAGCCCTAAAAATCCCTGCAGCTGTAAATACAGTCAGTCTGTCCTTCACTCTGCGGAAAAAGTAAAGTTATTTGGAAAACATGCTGTGGTATTTTTAAAATCGCAACAACGATGCAACACTGATGATTATCAGCACAAAATTTCCACCACTGTCATAAGTTTAAGCATCTGAGTCACTCTACAGCTGATCTAATATGTTATTTGGACGCACAGTGTTAATGCATTTCATTTAGCCTGTCACATTAAAGTCATCTTTTGTGATTCACTTTTGGTCTGTCAGTTTGGGTGGATGGTTATGTTTTGGTAGGTTTGCTGTAAAGTTTGCATTTTCAGATGGTTGATTAAATTTTATGCTGCCAAATGATAATAACTTGAGATATAGTTTTATAAGCTATCACTTTTTTTTTTAAATCTCCACATCTTTATTCCTGACATGCCTGCTGTTTCTTAGTCTTCATGTTGCTGTTTGTACTTTAATTTTCTCTGACCTCATGACCTTTAATGTACGCTGAGAATAAACTACACACAAGTTGACACACCTGTTACATAAATAAGAGGTTTCTGAAGTTTTAATTGGTTGGAGTGGCTTTTCTTCAACAAATGCACACCATAGTTTTGTGCTTATTTGTCAAAGTTAAAAAGCATGTATTTTTATTTCCCCTTTATAATTAAGCTTTTTTTTGTTAAAGATTTGGATGAAATGTGACAAATTGTGGAATTATATTAATACTTAATACAGGAAGGTGAGAAGGTCTAACCTGTTAGATTTCATAAATTAAATGAGGAATAGGAAAGGGGAAGAAGTACATTGTTCAAGAGTTATATATATAAAAACAAAACCTTTTAGATTTTTAAGTGATGTTGGAAAAAGTATAAAATTTTCTCTTGAAATTTTAACATTGAACATCTTCTTAAACATTTCCAATGGAAAAAGAGCAAAAACGTTTATTAAAACTGTCTTTGGACCAAGAGCACATATTTAGCTAACACCTATGGCTCAATACTGTTATGCTTCTGTGTCCTGAACTTGGCTTCAGATGTCAGCCTAAAGAAAATATAATGTAGCTTAAATTATGTAATATTGCATTACATCAATTCTACTGCTTTTAATGCCTCTACTCGAAGAAGAAAGTGTATTAATTTATAGTGCGGGAAGCAGACACAGGTGCATAAAGCTCAGAAGAGAAGAGAGGTAAATCTGTCAAAACACATTCAAGCACATTCACACTCTTTCACATACAACCAATCTGTTTTCATCTATGTGAAGATGCAATGTGCGACTGTGTGAGGGGGGAAAATCAACATTTCTCTCACTTTATCTCAGAAGTGTGATGTGAAGGTATGGTGACTAAATAATGTGCCATTTCAGTCTGAACAGCTTGGACAAAAACAAATGGAATACCATCAACTCAGACATAGTTTCTCATATGATTTGCATTTTTTTTATTTCTTGCATTTTAAGCGTGGAGCGTAACCTGCTCAGCATTGAAATGCAGGAAAATATGCATTTACGGCTGTAATTATAGTTGCATGATTCAAAAACAAACCAAAATATATTAAAAACCATTTGCTCAAACAAATAAAAGCAGAGAAATATAATGATTTGCTCATCTTATCAACCATGGAAGATTTTTTTTTCTCTGCTGAACCAAAACCCATTTATAAAACAGGAGGCAAACTTACAAAAAAAATGGAAATGGAAGTAGAAGAATAAGCTTTGTTTCCAGTTCCGAGAATTATAGCAAGCTTTTCTATCCTCTGATTGTACCAACTCACTAAAATTACGCCACTGGGCTGTTCATTCTTTTCATTACTTTTCTTACAATATGCAGACCATTCTGCACTGGACCCTCATTAGGGAGATAATATTTCAGCAGCGATTGCATGAGACACACTTTTTCATTTTCCCTGGAGAAACAGCAGAATCAGAGATGTGTCAATCAAGCCTTTTGAGGAGATCTAATCATGTAAAGAGAGCGAAAACACCTGTGTGGGTGGTAAGAAGGTTTGCCAGGGTCTCCAGATTTAGAACATGTTCAGATTGTCGAACATTCACCATTCAATACTGGCACGTATGAATATTTAACATAATGAGATAAATTCAAAGAAGCCTCTCCTACCCTGTGAAAATTCATAACAACTATTCAGTTTTATAAATGGTTGTAACTTTTTTAACCAAAGTTGGCTATGAAAATATGCTGTCTGCTAAAACCACTAAATCGCTGGAGTATTGAATCTTTTTCCTTAAAGCCAGAGGTTGACTTCCATTCATCATGGTTATGAATGTTGTATTAAATTTGAGCGTCAATTTTTTTTTTAAACCAACCAGGATGGACGGTTAACAGCTTCAATGAACTTTAAAAATAATAATTGTTTGTGCAAATTTTAGCAGGTTGCATTCTTTTTGAAATAATCAGGAAGCTTTTGACATAATTTGTAATTAACCACTTTTCTTATCAAAAGTTGTAAAAAATTATTTGAATTAATTGGTTTTCCATCTAGCTGTTGACTTTACATTAAGACTTAGAAGGTATGATATTATTATGTGGAACAATTAAAAGAAAAGCAAAAAAAAACAAGTATCAATACTGACAAAAGTAATAATAATGAAAAACAGATAAATATAGACATACGATGGATCAGTTAGTAGTAATTAATTATGACTATTAATGTCATTAATGTCATATTACCATCATTGCTCATACACTCTCACTCACACATGGTTAATAATACTCATTCTTTAAAACACAATACTTTGTTTCTTTTTCTTTGTTCTGACATTTTTTTCTTAAAAAAATAAAGTAGAAAATACACACCATATATTTTCTACTTTGATATTAAATACATTTCTATTAAATTAAAAAAAAAAAGATTTTGGATGTAGTTCTGCAGTTAAGCAGCTGCTTAAGACCCACAGCATGATACTTCCACTACCATGTTTGATAGTTGGTATTTGGTTGGACTCCTCCTATTATCCAAAAAGCTCATTTTTTCTGTCACTTGACCTTAAAAAGCTTTAATTCAGCAGATATTTGACTTGTTTGAAGATATAAACACGTCATGCATGAAATGTGACCCCAACTAAACAGAAATGAAAAAACGATTTAATTAGCACTAAACTGTGGCTTCTTTAAACTATCTTGTTACGCATGAAGGGTTTCCTTTGCACAGATACGTCTCAGTAAATTAAAATACTCATTTAAATTCAGTACATGGGCAAATTTTTTCCCTCTTGCAAATGAGATTTAGATCTTAATCTGGTTTCGATCTGATTAAATAAAGTAAATTAATGCAAAATATTGATCTATTTAACACAATTCGATATATTTCAAGTGTTGTATTTTCGTCTGTCTGCATACTCAATACTTGGTCTGGGCCACTTTTAGAAGAATTACTACATCAGTGTTGCTTCATATGATGGCAATTAGTCTGAGTGGCTAAAGAAGTCAGGTTGCATTGCCTGTATTGTTGTCTGTATTGTTGTCTGTATTGTTGCCTGTATTGTTGCCTGTATTGTTGTCTGTATTGTTGCCTGTGTTGTTGTCTGTATTGTTCTCTGTATTGTTGTCTGTATCGTTGTCTTCCATTTCATTCCATAGATTCCCAACCCTTTCTTAGGTAGGTTGGATTTTATTCCTCTCCACTTTTCCTGCAGGAATCAGCAGAAGTCCAGTCCCTGTCTTTGCTTCAGGAGTGGCTTATCCTCTCTCACACAAATTCTTGAGCAGGCTTTGCTTCACAAGGCTGCAGTTATCCTTGTTACTTATGCTGCTGCCTTTTGCTTTTACTTTCTAGTTAACTTTTTTATCAGTATGCGCATCACAGCACTTTGTGAACAGCTTCTGACTTGCTGTGCTTGTGGAGGAGCTCTGTGATGGTCGACTGGTTAATTGTCAAGTTGGTAATGATTGTGTACTCCATGTTATGACCATAACATAACATTTACACTAAAAATTTATTTGTGTGATGCCCTAACACTCTGCAAAGCCAAAGTCATAGTAAGGCATAATATTTAGAAGATCTAAATCCATAAAATGTCTATAAGTACATCTCAAAAAAGTCCAGGGATTTATTCATTTTGTTTGAATTTCCACAATAATTCTCAAGAAGTTGGAGGGATTGATTGATATAATTTGGCAGTAAACAGATACAAACTGCATTGATTTGATTGATAATATAAAATTTAAGCACACTTAGTGTTTAGTCTGAAATCTAGAGGGCCACATAAAAAGCTGTGGCGGGCTGGATTTGGCCCACGGGCCCCGAGTTTGACACACGTGACACTGACAAAGAACTAGCTGGCAAATAAACTTGCAGGCAGGTAATCTGTTAAAAAATTAAAAAGTTTTTGTTGTTACTTGAAGTTGTAATAAAAGAAAATTTCAATTTTCACCC